CGCATTCAACAAACATGGACAGGTGCTACCACTTTATATTGGCCTTTATATTAATTTATTGTCAATGCGAATACACCGCTAATCATACTACATCCAGAAATTACTTTTTTGTAATTTATTAACACTTACTGCACGAAGAAATGTTTTTATTAAAACCTGTATGTATTAAAGACATCTTTATTTTAACCAAGCATAACTTTGGAGAAGACTGATATTTTTAACGAAATGGAAATGAATAATATAAGCTTCATGTGAGATGATATGACCCACAGTTACATGAGTCCAAAATTTCAGTACAGAATCCAGATCAAGATATTTTGTAAGTCCATTTGATTCTTTCCGAGACAGAAAATGTAGACGTACATCGTTTCCTGCGTAATTATTCACTTTGTGCAACGAACACTTGAAGAAATATGCACCACAACAGAAGATATTTTTATTAATATCTTTCTAACTTTCTTTTCTAGAGTTCATTCATGAATCAAAATTTTCATCCTCAAAAATATTTTCCATTTTTCTTGCCATCATCTCACGTGTTATAATTGTCCTTTTCTTTATTCAGATATATATCACTACTTACTTATATTCCTGTAACCAGTGACTTTTTTTAAAAAAATAGTATTTAATTTTCTATTTAAACTGTGTTAACAGAACCCATGTTGCAGAGCCATGCTGCCAGAAAATCTGTTTTATTTTTTGATGGAGTGAAGAAACAGACGGGCATCTGGCATCAAAATTCTTCTTCTTTAAAGAGACGTTATGAAAATAAGGCCATACATTATACTTCATAACATTCCTTCCTTTCTCCATAAGTTTAATTACATTTTAAATATTGTACACTGCACTCACACACATTCAACTAAATTAACTTACATAATACAGATGGTTAAAATACGTGATTTCAGATTTTTTTGCCCAATTTGCTGGCACATACAAACAAAGATTAAAAATCCAGCTTTTCCAGCGGCAAGACAGTTGTTAAAATTGGAACTGCTTTGTTCACCGCAGAATCAAGAAAAATGTTACTCTGTACCTCTTAGTTGCTACACATAATGTATCTTACAAACAAAACAAATGATTTCTATTCAGGAACACCTGTAGCTTCTCGTAACATCCCAATACGCAGATTACAAATCAATACACACCTGGCGCAGACTGGACTGATGGTATAAACATCACTTGCGCAAAGTTGATCACTCACAAGAATCAGGGGACTCTTGAGACAATGAACAAGCAGCGAGTGGCACGGTACAATAACCGACATAATGTTGCGGTTACTCTATCCGATTTAATAATAACCTTTCAATTGTTAATGTCTGTAACTGCATACAAAGCACGATAAAATGCCTCAGTGACCCCAAGAGCTACTGGTAGGGCCTCCCTAGCCAGATTGGTCGAGGGGGAGAGGTCAGACTAAGACAGGTACCCTGGTCCTCCAGGTTGGGGGTTGGTCGTAAGGCTAAGAACCTTGCACCGTAAAAAGGAAGATGTTTCGAAACCTCAATCATAAGCCTCGGACAGACGGACCTAACAGAGGACCGAATGGAAGAGGAGAATTGAGGAGGCCATGGACCAGAGAGCCATAGAAGAAGAAGGTATAAAGCATCTAGAAAATGACTTCTTTTCCAATGATGTTGGACTTCTGTGTTGTAACTACGTGTGGTCCTACTGGTTATCTACCTACAAGTCCACACAGCAGAACAACCCAGAGGACAAATAAGGACACCTTTACCACCCTAAAATCTTCTACATTCACATTTTCAACAATCAGATCTTTGCCACTTCTCACCTGCCACGAGATGTAACAATTTTTGAGCTTGTTCTAGAAATCCAAAACACTAGAGTAAAAATCCAAACCTTTAATTTTTATACAGATCATTATGCTTCCCACTAACCAATTAATTGGCACACAGTGAAATATATCATATTTCCATTAGAAATCTATCAGTTTTAGGGGGAAATATTTCCTGTCGCTTCATCTTAGGACTTCTGTGCTATGATTTAATATTCACAACACATGTAACATAAATGTGTAGGTAATGAGTACACTTTAAGTTGGCAGTGAAAGAGTTATTACAAAAAGTATCGGATCTTAATTTTTCCCCACGGAAACAAATGAAGCACGGGAGGTGTCCTCCGTGGGGAGGTGTAGGGGACCTTTATGCGCATGCGTGAATTTTTTCCCGCCCGCAGAGAGCGCCAGTAGCTGGCAGTCAGCCTGTGAGTGAGTGGCTGTCGGATTAGTACCAGGGAGTGACAAAAGAACACGAAAAGTACTACATAAATGTGGACAAAAATCTATTCTACTTTACATGTCTCAAGACTCCCACTGGAGGGATGTTTGAGATGGGTTCCACTATGCAACATACACTTCACAATTTAATTTCTGTGACTTTTATTCTAAACTTTCATGTTCACAACATAATGGATATTATTAGCACCACTTTATATTATGCTTATAATTATGTAAATGTTTACGTTAGGCTTAACAACTGAAGTTACATTGCATTCTTAATATATATATATTTAACACTTGTTATCATACGAAATGAAAGGCAAAGACTGGGTAGTTCTGTACTGACCAAATAACAGGAAATTGCAACTTTTTTGTTTAGTACAGATGATTGTCTGCTGGGATGCTGCAACGTGCGGTCTGGGTGCAATGTCCCATCTTCATACTCATCACTATGAGAATCTCAAATCTCTCAAATTTTGAAAACTGTCAGTTTGAGCCAGTATCACGTTTGAATTGGCGTTCTTATGGGCCAATGAACTAATTGACAAACAAATGACCCTAAAATTTTTGAGTTTCTGAAGAGTACAGAATAAACATGATTAGTAAAGAAGTAGTACGATGATAGACCACCTATCTAAATCAAGCTGAGAAGTCAACCTTGGAACAAGGACATATTTAACAATAATAAGTTTTATTTCATTTTCTTCAGGATGCTGCTCTGCATAATACCACATAAGCATAATGGAACCTAAAATATTTACAAACCAAGTTCTCAAAAAATATAGGAGAGACACAGAACGGCAACATGTCAGTAAAATGACTTGCAATAACAAAAGATTCACCAGAGAATGAACACAGCATATTCATAATAGCAATTAAAGTTCTCTGCCAATGAAATGTTAATCTTCAGCCTTACCCTACCTGCTGTCCCAGCCACTTCGGCTTCCAGATTGACCCTGTCTCTTCAATGCCTAGATATCTTCCAGCCTTCCCTCCTTGCCCGGCCCAAAAACCCTTTCTCAAGCCATTAATCCCTGCTCCCAAAGTCTGGTTTAGACCTTCAAAATTAATTACTTCATAGCAGATTCCTTGCTAAGACTGCAATGCACAGTAGGTCACACGTCAAGCACATTTACGTAATGGAATCTATTTCACTATACAAAGACGAATCCTAAAAATAACAACTGTTGTCAGGGAGACATTATTAATACCAGCTGTCACAGTGGCAGCGCAGTCTGAGGCGTGGGCCTTGTGCCGCTCGGACACTGTGACCGTGGGTTCGAATCCCACTCAAGCCATGGATGTCTGTCCGTGTTTTTCTATGTTGTGCTGTCCTGTGTTCAGGTAGAGGCCTTGCGACGGGCCGATCCCTCGTCCAAGGAGTCCTACCAACTGTCTAATAGATCAAAGCCTACGAAAGTTGGGACCCGCAGTGCTCGGGCACTGAAGAACGGGTCGCCTAAGTATCTCAAGTATCTTAATACCAACAGACATGCATAAAGGTTTTATGGAGAGATACTTTATGTTTCTTGTTTCTGTCCATAACACTAACTATAAAAATAATTACTTCAGGCATGATTTATAGAATGGGGTGGAACTGAATCATTCTTTCTTTATTAAATAATACTTTCCCGACTGCTTCGATTATGTAAAGAAGCATTAATATTACAAGGATTTGTGACAAACTGAAAAGGATCATGATAAGAAAATTATCAAGGCCTATTTCAAGGTATTTCTGCAGAATTTACCTAAAGATACTCGGAAGACCAAAACCATGAAAAATCTCATTCAGGATAACTAACCGCCAGACCATAAGTTTAACCTCAGATCTCTCAAATATGAAGCATAAGTTATAACCACCTGACTGCAAAATTGTATGTAGCAGAATTATTATCCAAACAGGAGCCAGGGCAGCTCAGTCAGTCGGGGTTCGATCAACAACGGGGGAAGAGGATTTTCCTCTCGCCCTCTTGCGTCTAGGCCGGCTCTGGGGTCCACCCAGCTTTTTATTCAATGGGTACCGGGGTCCTTCCCCGGGGGTAAAGCGCGGGCTGGGCGTGACGCTGACCACTCACCCCTATCTAGTCTGAGGTAAGATTATATAGTAGGAAAAGTGTCAAAGAGAGAGCACATACGATTCATGCTCTCTGCATACTGTTTAGTTCCGGAAGATGATTTTATTCTCAGTTGACGTAACAAAAGCTTCAACAGACTCTCCCAGTCTACTTTCATTTGTTTGGTAATGTGAGTAATATTACGTAAGTTTTAGGATATATCATGTATTAAATAATTTATGCTTAGTTATGTAGTGTCAGCAGGTCTCTCATATCTGCATAACAAATTAACCATCCGACGATTCTGACAAAAAGTAGCACCAGCTCTTCAAATGCGTCTTGTTTTATTTCTGGCATGGATGGCAATTTATCATTACTATGAAAACGAAACTAACCTATAATTGTGTAAGACTTGAGGTTTTCACAGCGGTGAGTATGGAGATTTCTTTCTGTCTTCTGGGTTGTTGCGCTGTGTAGTCTGGTCGGAGGCAGTATGACCTCTGAAACGTTGGTAAACATCGACCAGACTACACAGCGCAAAAACCCAGAAGACAGAAATCTTCCTAACGTATAATTATTAGAGACATACCGCTTACTTAAAATGACATACAATGAATTAAACCAGCTTTAAATGTTTTTTACAATTAAACAGGAAAATACTGCAACCTTGCTTTTAACTGTCTTTAGAAAATGATAAGTCATCTTGAGATGTTTTTCATAAAAATCAGCTCATATTTTGATATTAAAAATGCTACATATAATATTATATTACTAAAATAAAATGTTTACATGCAGTTTTATTACACAACTTTCATACCATTTCACCCATTATGTTTAGAACTTTATGGATTTTTCAATATGGATCATAAATCGATATTGATAATTCACTTAAGTCCTCGGTGGAACAAAATTACACGTGTTCATACAAAAGCACTGAAAATCAGGAATTCTATCCACCACAGAAAGTTTGGGGAGATATTTCAGTTGGTTATTCGGAAAAAATAAATTTATGAATAACAATTACAGTTGTGTAATATGAGCAAAAGCAATACACATTAAAAGTAATTACTTTCAAATCTAAATTAAATGTACAACTAGCATTGTGATCTATGTAAGTGCGACAACTTGTAATACAAACAAAGCTAACATACAAGGGTTAAAGGTTAACTTAAGTAAAATAAGTCAAATTTGAAAATTTATAGTTTCCAAACTGTTCTTCATCAGGGTCATCATCCAGTTCACTCACTGATTTTTTGTACAATATTACTCTAACATAAAAATGTGTCACATTTTAATGTCCGAGCGAGTATCCTACAATCCCAAACAGTTCATTACTTTAACAAAGCTTTCTTGAGATTAAATCTTCACATATATCTTACTATTAAATGTACTGTATATCATTTAAATTTGTTCTGAGAAACCACTAAAATATCCATTATTTGCATAACGAACATTCAAATGATGCACACTTTTATGAAAAAATAATATTGTAACCATAACAAGTAAACTGGATGATACCCCTGATATAGACCTTTAGTAGGTCGAAAAATGCAGGAATTGTATTAAATGTAGCTTCACTTTGTATTGTGACTGATGGTATTCTTAAATAAATAATATATTTGACAATGATATGCATCCTAATGTGAAAAGATATCAATACAAACATCTTTAACACAAATACATAATTCTATATCAACTGACATCCGATCTTTCAAATGTAGTCAATTTTTAGTGACTGGAAATAAATGTAGAAATCTTTCTGTTTACTTTACGGTTCCACAGTCTCAATTAGTGACTGAGAATTCACATGGGCTGGAAGTGTGAAACTTCCCAGATTGTTGGTATCATGACTCCTGGCTTGATTTAAGTAGGTCTACACTTTTTGTTAACCAGAATTCATCATGTTTCGCCTCCATACCGGCTTCAACGAAGAAAATTTGATCCAAAACAATAAGAAGAAAATTCATTCCTTTCACAGAAGCCTACTGCTCGGCCAATTCTAATATTACTACAAATGCGTAATGATGGGTAATTCCAGTAAATATGAGCTGCGAAGTTAATACAAAAATTGTGTAATAATATATAAATGTACAAAAAAAGTCTAAAAAAAATATTTCCGATGATGGAACTCCCTCGTTTTGACACCACAGGCTGGAGGCACTGAGAACATGCATCTTTGTCCTGACGATAAGAAAAAAATCAAACCTAACTTTTCCCACAACCAAAGACACTTTACAAATAGCCACACTGGACATGCTTGTGTATAACGTCTGACTGTTTCTTCAGAATTGCCTGCTTGTGTGTCTGAAGGTTTAGTAGGCCGATGAGGAAGGTGAGATTCAAGCTGTCAGAACCACAAGCAGGATGCTTCTCATCCAACAGATCTCCCTTCCTCCAATTTAGTTTTCAGTACCAAACAATTAAGGACCATTGTCTTCATCAGTTTAGTCCAGTATGCTTATTTGTTTCTACACAGGATTATGGAGATAGTTAATTCTGAAACAGTCAGTTATATGAACTTGTCAGGGCTGAAACCACATTTGTCAACTGGACAATAACGCGATTTCTTTAAAAATCCAACACGAAATATTATAATTACCTATTCCTGATTTTTTTAAAAATCCAATACGAAATATTATAATTACCCACTCCCGATTTTTTAAAATCCAATACGAAATATTATAATTACTCATTACCGATTTTTTTAAAATCCAACACGAAATATTATAATTACCTATTCCTGATTTTTTTAAAAATCCAATACGAAATATTATAATTACCCACTCCCGATTTTTTAAAATCCAATACGAAATATTATAATTACCCACTCCCGATTTTTTTAAAGTTCAATACGAAATATTATAATTATCCATTCCCGATTTTTTTAAATAAAGTTCAATACGAAATATTATAATTATCCATTCCCGATTTTTTTAAAATTCAATACGAAATATTATAATTACCCATTCCCAATATGTCATAATTTCTTGTCTAAGGAACTTACTGCCGATGGAAAGTGACAGTAATAGTAATCACGGAGTTTTCGAGGCCTTACACAATTCATAACAAGTGTCGTAAATCAAAAGTTACAAATAATGTCTTCCTCCCATAAAAATCATAAAACTGGTTTCAACAAATGCGCAAATGTAACACGTGCATACACACGCACGCGCGCACACACAAGGAACTCCCATCCTCTGGAATAAAACCCCTATCGTCCTCGTCCTACAATATAGCTGGAGCAGATGCTGAAGCTACGCCGCAGAGCATTATGGTTGCGCAAAATTCATACCATGTAGCTACTCCATTATATGTGACGGAGAATGAAATGGGAGAACTAACTATGCATAGTATATTTGCAGTATTTGGGTTATGTACGCTCATAAACGAGACAGATCTGAATTAGCAATTTGTAGACTTTATTTTTAGACGTAAAGGGTCTATTTGCATCTAAAAGTATAACACGAAACTATTCTTAAAACGAAGATGGTTGTCTTCTGGGTTGTTACGCCATGTAGTCTGGCAGAAGTTTAGCGACGTTTCAGAGGTTCTTACTGCCATAATCATCAAGACCTTCTAATAGACTATGCAATGTAACATACGGAGAAACTGAAATCTCTATTTTCAATATCTACGCACATCAACCATGGTCCCCCATCCTCACCTGTGTCTTTCCACAAACAACCTAATTTCCACCATTACCTGTCCCTCCTATCTCTTTAGCTATGACCTTTAAACTTTAATCTGTTCTGCTACCAATCTTGTTCGCACATTTAAATCACTGTTAGCAAAACCATTTAATCCCTCCAAATCCAAAGGTTTTAAACAATGTGTTGTAAAAATCATTCTTTTGGAGTTTGCCCATTGTCAAAATTACAAAACCAAAACATTTCGAAACCTGGATTCTCCTTCTGTTCACAGGTATAAAAGGGGAGAGAGGAGAGAGAATGTCTGCTGGGCTGCCTGGTTGACCTAGGCCCGAAAATTAAAAAGGATATTGTCTCATTTTTGACAGTGACAATTTTCTTCAGATTTCATAATCGAGTTCCTCCATAAAATTAATATTAAGAAAAACATTCATCAACTAGGAACAATGAGCTTCATCTGGAAACATACGAGACTATCTAATCACATCATGCATGCGTTCCAAGAAATATTGCATACTAACTGAGCAATGTCACAATTGATCCAACTGTTTTACTGTGTGCAGGATGACATGAAATGAAGAAATAATATTTACCACGGATAAGGATAGGATGTTATTAACTACATGGCACAGTCAACTTCCATTATACAATCTCACAATCTCTAATCCAAAGCACACTTGGGACTAAGAGGGCTTTCTACTGGGTTGTAGCACTGTATAGTCTGGTAGAATGTGTTTAAGAAGACCATCATCAGAGAGGCAGCAACACAATCTCACAATCTCCAATCCAAAGCACACTTGGGACTGAGAGGGCTTTCTACTGGGTTGTAGCACTGCATAGTCTGGTAGAATGTGTTTAAGAAGACCATCATCAGAGAGGCAGCAAGGACCTCTAAAACACTGGTAAACGTCTACCAAACTACATGGCACTACAAACCAAGAGACAGCCATCTCATACTCACTGTTGTGAGAACCTGGGACTATTTAACAGGAATTTTGCGAAACAAAAGGGTAACGTTCCGATAATCATTCAAACAGGATGCTCTTTTTACACAGTACAAACTTGGGCCACAACTTACCTGGGTAGCCTTCTGTTGAGTCATAGTAGTCACCAGAGCCCTCATCATAGTCCTCGTAAGTGCCATACCTGACGATCAGAATAAGTAAAGCTCTTAAATGATTCATGATTCCTTACACGACAGATTTCACTTTCGATTACATATGAGATTTCCATGAACCATATAGGCAACTCGGTTTACGAACGAGTTCCGTTCCAACACCTTGTTCGTTATAAGTTTTTGTTCGTTATGTGTATCTTGCATTCCTTGGCTTTTACGATACGTATCGTATACGTTAGCAGCCATTTTAAAGCATTAAAACCATGTACGAAACATCGACTGGTCTATACCAGTGTTATTCAACTTTTTTTGTTCGCGTACCCCCAGATATAATTTCTCTGTAACTTTGTAACCCCAAAGTTGTTGGTGTATAATTCAAGTTATACATA